CCCCAAGAAGGAGCCCATGGAGGCGCTGAACACGGCGCAGGGCGCGCGCGACTTCATCTACAGCCTGCACTCCACCGAGAGGAGCTGCCTGCTCAAGGAGCTGCACCGCTTCGAGTCCATTGCCATCGCCCAAGGTAAGGGGGCGGCTGGGGCGATCCGGGGCCCCCGCTCCCCCGCGAGCCCTCTCCCTCCGCGGCCTGGGACCCCCGCCGCCGGCCCCGCGCCTGGGACGTCCGCGGGGGGCACTTTCCGCCTCCCGAGTGTCCCCGGGGCAGGGAGGACGGGCGCGGATCGCGCCAGGCCGCCGGGGCCAGCGCTTGCTGCCTCCTCCCCGGCTTCAGAAGCCCCTGTTGCCGCCCGGTCGCGTTTTGCTTTTGTTTTGGTTTGCTGTGCACCTCCCCTCCGGCCCTCCCGTCCCCGAGCTCTCGCTGCGATCTCGTGGACGTGCAGCCAGGCAGGTGGCCTGCCGAGCCTCCTCCGAAAGTGCAGGGAGGCCGGGGGAAACTTTCTTGCAGGGTTGTCAGACGAAAACGTCTGGGTGTCCAAAGGAAGGGATGTGGCTTCCGAAGTCAGAGATGCTCTCAGCTGCTTGGGTGCGCGCGGATCTGGTTGTCTTAATTTAAGGAAACATTTTCCTGGGAAATGGAAAGAACGGATCAAACCAGTAACCGCAGATACAGACTTGCAAGCCGGTATAGGTTCGGTGCCGCACAAGTTAAACCCCAGTGTTTGTTGTTTCCCCAGAGGTTGAAAGAATGCTAAATCAGAAGGTATTTTTCTGGGAATCTGTGGCTCTCCAGTAAAAGGCAGACTTCTGCTCAACAGTAATGTGGGACGGTGAAAACAAAGCTATTTTTAAGTTAACATGTTAAAATAGGATATTTTTAAAACCGGTGCAGAATGATGGTAGGTCAGAATTTGAGTCCAGGTGGAAAAGCTAAAAGTTGAGAAAATCAAAGGGGTGAAAGGAGAAAACGATTAAATCATCCAGTCTTAAAGTATCTTGCCAGACAAAATACATTGCTACTATTTTATATTACATTCTGCTGTATTTGCAAGTTTCTTTTTTAAGTTTATTCCCCTCCCCCCCAAGTTGGGGGGGGGGAGTCCGTGGATTCCTTAAGTTTAGAGCACATTGATTTGGAACCTGGCATTTGGTTTGCCAGAGGCACTTAAAAGTGTTTCTTTGGCCTCTATACAGGAGTGGAGGAAATTATCTACCTCATGGAAGCATGACTTGTCTGTACTACTTCTGCAGAGACTTTTTGTTAGTTGTGCCTTTTAACTGCTTTGCTTTCTTTTCTCAGTTCAGGGAATTGTGGACCAGTTTATGGTGTTGGATGAGTCCAGACATTGTCTGCCCACAAAGCTTTTACAGGAAAAATGTAACACTGCAATCAATTCAGTTGTTAAATGTGTAATCATGATGTTGTAGGAAGTCGTAATCGAATACTAGCATATTTGTAAGCTAGGTGTGCACTCTGTGTGCGGTTTTAAAATATTCAATTCTGAAAATGAGCTCCTCGGAAAACAATGTAGACAGTCATATGCTGGAGCATTAGTTTTAGGAACCTTTGTCCATGGGCAAGACTATTTGAACACACATATGGCCTTTTCTAAGTAATTTCTTGGAAATTCTGCATTAACATTGTTACAGGTTTGGAGGGCCCTGTTAACATGATTTTATGACAGTTCTTGAAAAGCGTGTCCTGCGATTAAACTGGATAAATTTTACCTCATACCTTATTGCTTTAGCACATGACAGTAGTGTTGTAGTAGGGATGCTACATTTTCCAGTGAAGATAATATTTTTAAATTTAACATGATTTTAAATATTCTGGAAAGGACCTGTAAACTTCAGTTAATGGAGATCGGTTAGCATCAATTAAACTTAGTAAGTATGTAAGTTATATGAGAGAGAAGTTAGTAATTTGTCATTGTTCAAGATTAACAGGCAAGGATATAGGAAACAATGTGGTAGTTAACTGCTTATCTCCTGTTTATAAGCTAAAGAATTTCAGAATTTACAGCAATTATTTTTTATTTTTATTTTTTTTGTGAGGAGATCAGCCCTGTGCTAACATCTGCCAATCCTCCTCTTTTTGCTGAGGAAGACTGGCCCTGGGCTAACATCCGTGCCCATCTTCCTCCACTTTATATGGGACGCCGCCACAGCATGGCTTGCCAAGCAGTGCATCCATGTGCACCTGGGATCCGAACCTGCGATCCCCGGGCCACCGCAGCGGAGGGTGTGCTCTTAACCGCTTGCGCCACAGGGCAGGCCCTACAGCAATTATTTTTGTCAATGTTGATGACTAACTTATTGCCTTTTGACTCAGGTGACACATTGATGATGTTGCTTTAATTTTTAGTACATTCTTAGTGTTCCCTATTGTTTTCAATGTCAATACATATAGTTCCTATGGAGCTAACTGGAATCATCACTACTAGTAAACTACCTTAATCATTAATCATTTAAAGTAAAGAGGATTTTACTGTTAAGAATGCATACAGCTCATTCCGATCCTGAAATCAATGTTTTTTCCCAATAAGACAAATGAAAAACTCCCATTTTTTTTCTTTTATTGTTGCTTTTTGAATGTTTTTAAGTACCCGACTCATGTACTAAATGTGTGTCCTAAGTACACTTTCCAATGAAATAAATTCTGTTAAAAGGGCTGTTTCTTATAGGAAATCTTATGTGTTCCTGGGAAGGGTGCTTGTGTGATCTAATGAAGTGTTTTGGATTTGGTGTGGAAACAGTACTGGAAAAAAATCATCCAGGCTTTGATATGACGGTGGAATCTGCTGAAATTTGGTACATTTGCCCTTATTAATAGGCATGTGATATAGTCTGTGACAAGATAAAGCTTTACAATCATTTTTAATAGATAAGGCAGACTTTGTGGGATGTCTTATCATAGTTAAATAGGCTGCTGTGATTTTTAAATTATAAGCTGATTTTCTCCCCAATTTTAAAAAAGTTGATGTTATCAACGTATCTGCTCAACCTTGTCTCTCTTCTTCCAGGAACAGTCCATATTCTTCTGATAGTACATTGTTGGTTCATTGTTTGTATGAGTAGGACTGGCGAGCTGACATTATTGTAGTTTCCTTTCAATTTTCACCAAGATTTTTCAAACAAATTTGTCACCCAATTTTTGCGATTACTATTTCTATTTATAATTATTTTTTAAAACTTAAAAAATATATCAATTTGATTTTTGAAGGATGGGCAGTGCTCATTGTGTTGGAAATACATTACTGTATAACAGATTACCCCAAAACATAGTGACTTAAAACAAGCATGTATTGTCTCTCAGTTTCTGAGGATCAGGAATCCTGGAGCAGCTTAGTGGAATGTTTCTGGCTCAGAGTCTCTCAAGAAATTGTAATCAGCAGGGGCTGTGTCATCTGAGGTCTTGGGGGGCTGGAGGATTCCTTTGCAAGAAGGCTCACTCACGTGGTTGTTGGCTGGAAGTCTCAAATCCTTGCCATGTGGGCCTCTCCACAGGGCTGCCTAAGTGTTCTCAAGACATGGCAGCTGGTTTCCTCCAGAATGAGTGATGAGAGAGCTGGAATCCACAGTCTTTCATAACCCAATCTTAGAAGAGGTAGTCCATCTCTTTTGCCTTGTTACATTGTAGGAGGGTACTATACAGGGTGTGAGTACCAGGAGGTGGAAATCATTAGGGGCCATCTTGGAGGCTGCCTTTCACACTTATAAGGTGTTGTAATTAATGCTCATTGGGGAATTAGACAGAGAGATAAGAGCTGGCTTTTGGAGAGGCACAATGAAAGATGCGATTTGAAAAAAGGAGCTTCCTAGGGAATATTTTTTAAAACGTGTACTTAAGGTATTTTAAAAATGAGATTCTTTTTACATATAGCAAAATAAGAGATGTATCCAGGTGAACAGAGCAGTTTTTCTATTAATGTTAGATCTTTATCAGCTTGCATTTTTTTCTGTTTCTCTCTATAAGTGGTAATTGTACACATTTTGAATTTATTTTTTACCGTTATCTACATCTATATAAATACATCATGTAATTTTTTGTGTGTGTGTGAGGAAGATCAGCCCTGAGCTAACATTCATGCCAATCCTCCTCTTTTTGCTGAGGAAGACTGGCCCTGAGCTAACGTCCGTGCCAATCTTCCTCCACTTTATGTGAGACGCTGCCACAGCATGGCCTGACAAGTGGTGTGTTGGTGCGCTCCCGGGATCTGAACCTGGGCCGCCAGCAGCGGAGTGCGCACACTTAACCGCTGCTATACCATGGGGCCAGCCGCTACATCATATAATTTTAAACTTTAATCTTGTAGTTCCCCACCTTTTGTGATTATTTTTTTAAGGTGGGATGAGGAGCTTCTTTTGAGAATTGCCATATAGCATAAGGGGCCTTTGGCAAAATGAAGGCTGGAAGATAAAAAGGTGATATTAAAGTGGATACCTTGAATACTTAAAAACAAATAAGATTTTTCCTGGAGTTCCGATCCACTAGGGTTCTTGGACTCTTAACAAGAGTGTCCTCATTTTTCTCTGTGCATTGGTCAGGATTATGAGACAGTGGCAACTCTGTTAATCTGTTAGCCTCTGGGATGAATTGGAGGTAATCTTGGCTTTTGCTCAAAGAGAATAAGAAAGAAGGCAATAAAAACATTTCGTACTTCAAATTAAGATATGTGAATAAAGATATTTCAATGGCTTTTAAGAGGGATAAGGGAAGTGTAGCCTGAACTAGACCCAGCAAGAGGAGAAGAACCAGGATGAGGATATGAAGTGTGAACTGAGTCAGGAGGAGTAAGACATGCCTAATAAGCTGAGAGCTTCTGTATCTTGGGCCTAGATAAGTTAAATGAAGCTTTGCAACAATCAGTTATTTTATCAATATGGAAAGAACCTAATTATAGCAGTATATTCCAACAAGCTGAATTCTAAATACTTGAGAGTTACTGGGCATATTGGAGTAGCCCTATTATTAGGAATTACTGCCAGTAGAAAACAGATAATGCAAATAGGATTTTTTTCTTCCATTATAACGTGGATATATGCTATTTAACAATTTTTAATCATCACTTACATATAACTTGATGTCCAGAATTATGTGTGACTTAAAACAGTAACTATACCATT